CATTTTGACACAAGCTCTTTCCAAATGTGCTGAGCACATGTACAAATAAATGTAAGAAAACTGGGTTGGAAGGAATCAGGGTGTTTGATTTTCTGAAGAAATGAATGTGGTTTCCAGAGTTGCTTCCTGGTATCCTAGAACTCAGGTAAAATTCCTTATGACAGTTTCACAGTTTTCCTAGGACAGTGTCCCTCAGACCATATTGGGTGTACACCCATCCTGCCCTGAAAAGTGTACAGGTCATGCAATGTGCTGGGGTCTGAACACGTCCCCTTCCACAGTGGACAGGACCATCCTCCCTCTTGGCTGCTGGTGGGTATTCTGAGAAAGGAAAAAAATCTCAATTTTGTTGATAACATAACCCCTGTTGTCAGTGGATCCTTGCAGCTGAGAAGAGAACAACCACTGGAATCAAAGATGTCACCAGCAATCCAGGGAGGGCAGCTGGTTGCTCTAGGTGCCAGTGGTACCCTCGTACCAGCTTGCTATACCTAGTGCTGCTTCTGGAATCTCCTTCCAGATGAATCAGGGCACTTGGATCTTGTCGACTGCCCTTTGCTACCAATTTGCTCACCTGACTATACCATTCCCACTTCCCTGAGATACTAACCCCTTTTGTTCTGCCTGTCCAGATTGTCCCAGACACAGACACAGACACACTTTGCTGTAGTTCAGGCCTGAGATTTCTCTTAGCTCTGAGAACAAGATACTTTCCTCAATTCGACTCAGTTGGCTGTTCATCAGACATGGTGTATTTTTACCATTGTGCAGTGGGCTCAGAGAGACACACGGATCTCCTCCATCTTGATTCCATTAGTTCCTGTGAAACTTTAGGCAAATCACCAAATTTCTCTGATCTTCAGTCTCTTCCTCTATGAAACAAAGATTATAGCCCCTGCCTCATTGGATGTCCTCTGAATTTAATAAGCTGAATGTATAAAGAAACATGCTATCACCTAATACAGGAAGATACCCGAGAAAAGATAGTTATTTTTACAATTTTCTTATATAATTTCTCATGTTTCTCCATCTTGATTTCCAAACTAGATTATACTTTCTTCAATCATATTCAATTTCGATATCACACAGCCTTGAACATGACAGGCATGAAGTCATTGTTCAGTATCAGTTTCCTAAAGTTTTAAATCAGAGAATGCACCCTTTCAAATGAAGGCTCATTCTTGAATTATCTGTTATATGTGAGGCATTCTGAAGGAATTTTCTGGGTCTCATTTTCCTCTTATGCAAAATAAATTCTTTGTTCTATAATTCTAGATGCACTGAGGATCTTCCAACATTGAGGTTTGGAATCTATATATTCCTGAAGGGAATTTGGTATGTTACTCTTCTGTCCGATGCCTTCACATTTGAACCAGTGATGGATAGATACAGAGTAAGTGAACTTCCAGCCCAGGCAGAATCAACTCCAGTGCCTCAGTGTCTCCTCCCAGCCCTCTTTCTAACCCCTGTCTCTGTTCCTTGCTCTACTCCAGCACACTTGTTTATTTGCACTCCTGGAAATTTCCAGGCTTCTTCTGCTGTGAGGCCTCTGGACTTCCTGTCTCTCATGGCTCCCATCTCTGGACCAGTGTCTCTTCTGCAGAGGTTCCTCACCAGCTCCAGTCTATCCCATAACCTTGATTTGTGCTTCATTTTTGTAATTGTCCTTTGAAATTGTCTTATTATTGAGTCATTTATTTATTAGCTGTTTGCTTCCTTTGCTTCTCTTCATTCCCTAAATAGAATCACTCTTCTTGGTTTTTTTTATGTCCTTGCTGCTAAAAATACTTAGCACAGATCAGGTCCTGAAATAAATAATGGTGAAATGATTGAATGAATGAGTGAATGAATTCCACCATACCTTAAAGAGAAGGTGTTACTTGGTGAGCTAAAATCCATGGCTGCCAGTCCAGGTTTGAGTGAACTTATTCAAATCTGAGTCACCCACACAAATGAAGTGATTGCCTTAGGGCTTAGTATGGTGATTATTAGCTATTAATTAATACATAAGGCCTTGATATACATGGGAGTGGTAAGAAACACAAGCCCTAGAAAGATATCTGTAAGAAATCACAGCACAGTGGGGCTGGGGTTGTGGCTCAGTGGTAGAGTGCTCACCTCGCACGTGTGAAGCACTGGGTTTGATCTTCAGCACCACATAAAAATAAATAAATAAAATAAAGGTATTGTGTCCATCTGCAACTAAAAATAAAATAAAATAAAAAAAGAAATCACAACACAGTGTACCTAGAAATCAGCATTTGTTGTGGATAATGCAGATAATATTTAAAAATGAATGATTCACTTTTTTTAATTATGAAAAATTCCAAACATAAACACAAGTGGATGTAACAGATAAGAATGTCATAATGAACCCTCTTATGCACTGGGTGGACACACTCATCCTGTGTCCGTTATCCTGTATGAGTGTATGTATGTGAAGCCAATCACTTGTTTTCTGGCCAACAAAAAGTGCACACTAGATGGGGCCTCTGTGTGATTGTGATGTATCAGAGTCTGTTTTGCTAGCAGACTTTCCTTGCTGGCATGATGAAGTCAGTGGCCATGGTGGGAAGGCCAGGAGATAATGAGCCACAGGTATTTTACTAGGAACTGCAGGTGACCTCTTAGAGCTGTGAACAGTCTCTAGTGGACAACCAAGAAGAAGCCAGGTGCTCAGTTCTACAGTTGCAAAGCAATGACTCCTACCAGTGCCCCCCAAACAGCATGGAAGCCAATTCTCCAGGCAATGAGAACACACCCTGGCTGACACCTTGGCAGCGGGTGTGAGACCCTCCTCAGAGGACTCAATGTGCTGAGCACCTGACCCACAGGAACTGGGAGGTAAATCTGTGTTGTTTTAAAGCCACTAAGTTTGTGGTAATTTTCAGCAATACATAATTCAGTGCATTACCTAACACCAACAATTTTCAACAGTTTCCAATGTTGTTTCTTCTATACTTCCTTGTCTTTCATAGGTGGATGGGTGGAGTGTTTTAAAGCACATCTTAGACTTTGTATCATTTCACTTGTAAATATTTTAGTATTTGGTATCTCTAACAGAGCATAACCATGGTGCCAGAAAAACTGGGTTTAATTGAGAACAGTGGGAGTCTTGGGGGGGGGGGGTGTTGCTGGGAATGGCAAGCCCCCAGTCCACTGAGTTGTATCCCCAATCCCAGAGTGGGAGTCTTTTAAAAGTCATGGAGACAATGGATTTAGCATATTAATTGGATACCCAGAGAAAACATGCTTGCAACAAATAGAATGACACCTCCTTGATCCCCACAGCTAAAGGACATGAAAGCTTTCATTTGAAATGTCAGAGACTTGCCAGTTGAATTTTCAAGAACAATGCAGCCACAGAATTGTCCCTGTAATATGTTTGTCTGTCAAAGAATATTGAAAACTAATTCTGATAGTGTGTTTAAGGGCCTATCCATTCCCCCAGGACTCTAATCTGCTTTGGAATGGACCCCTGTAAATTCCATTTTGATTGGTAACTCTCTGTTATTTCGCGTCATATTCTAATTGCCATTCCCACCACTTTTTCCAGACCACAGGAAGCTTTTCGAAACTGGCTATATTTCTTTTTCTCTTTTGGACAGTTAACCTCTTCTCCTTGTGACACTGCTCCGAAAGGCTTGCTTTGTAAGGAAAATAGAGCTCTGGGTTCAATGCCATCTCTACCACCGGGGAGCTTTGTGATGTTGGGCAAGTTCAATAGTGTCTAGCAGGGTTGTGGTGAAGATCAGACAAAGAACACGTGTAAAGCATAAGGTGGTCAGCACAGAGAAGGCACCGACCCCACCCTCCCCTTTGTTGGTTCCCATCTCCAACCACCGAGCGCCAGAACGCCCAGCACCGCGCCTCTCCCGCCCTCCTCGCGGGGGATGCAGGGACTTGTAGTTTTTTGGTCCCAAAGTCATTGTTTCCTCTCGGAGCCGGACAGCGAGAGGAGGAACTACACATCCCAGTGGGCTGTGAAAGGAAAGTGGGGCTCGGAAAATCGAGCGTTCCCGCCTGCTGCTTTCGCTCTCCATAGTGGCCCCTGGACCGTGCTCACCCCAGCTTGGGCTCCCGCTGCAGCCAGGGCTTGGACCCCGCGGCAAAGCCTAGAGGGCGTGAGCGCGCAGGCGCCTGGGACTGGTGCGGCCAGGTGGCTGCGCCCGCCGGCCCACCCGGCTGTCAGGCCCCTGGGGGAGGGAGGCGCGGGCGGAGCGGACAGGCGCCCGGTCCCAGTGCTTGTGAGGGGGGTACGCCGGGAAAAGGAGGGAGAAATAAAACAAGCCAATTGTGAGCGCCCGTGGGGGAGAAGTGGAGAGCGAAAGGGCCGGAAGGCAGCGACCCAAAAAGCCTGGCTACCAAGGGGCTTTTACTATGGGAGGGAAGCCCTAGCCGGGGCAAGGGGACCCAGATTCCTCGGCTCTTCTCTTTCCTCCTTCCTTGGAAGCTCGGCCTCGAGACCCCCGCCCGCAGTCCTTCCCAGAGTCAGGCCTGTCTCGGACGGCCGCTCCCTGACCTGTCATCAGGCGCCCCACCCCGTTCCCGGGTCATCAGTAGAGTCCCCCGGCGACTCGACCCAGCGCCCCGATGGGGAGGAAGAGGAAGCGCGCGGGGTTGGGGTACAGGCCGGGGAGGGTCACCTCTCCGCGCCGTGGCTCGTCAGGTCTCGGCAGTTGCAAGAATGGGTTTGCGAGTGACGGTGTAATCGTGCGTGTCCCGAGGCAGCAGTTGCTGCCGGCAATAACCCGGGAGAGAAGCCTGCAGGCGGACACCGAGAGCGCACGGCGTGGCGGCGCCGCGGGCGCTGCGCCCGATCACTCCTCGGCGAAGCCGTAGGGAACGAGGCCTGCTGCGCCGGGCCTGCCGGGTCCCCGAGCCCAGGGCGTCCGCCTGGAGGGGACTGGGGCGGCGACCCCGCCGTGCCGGTGCCGGGGCTTCGCCCGCCAGGAGGAGGAGTTGGAGGAGGAGCACGGCTGGCAAGGCGCGGGCGCCGCCGCCCAGCCGGCCGCGAGGAGGCGGACCCGTTCCGAGCGCCGCGCGCGCGCCGGGGCTGAGCCTTGCAAACAAGTGTCTGTGGCGGTGTCCCCACGGCCCTCCGGCGGCCTTCGGAGCGCCGGGGCTGGCTCTTCTGAGCAGTAGGAAGCCAGGGAGTCCCCCGCCTCGCAGCCCGCGAGCCGCAGACACTACCCTCCGCCGGGAGCCCTGCGCACGGGCCGCGGACTGGGCTCGGCTGCCGGGCGCGCCGACGCGGGGTCGCGGCGCGAGCAGCGCCGGGGCTCTTGCCGAGCCGATCCTGACAGAATAACGTGCGTGGCTGTCCCCACCCCTGGGAGGGGTTGCCGGTGCCGCGAGCTGCCGCCCAGTTTGCAGCGCTCTCTCCTGGGAGGATCCGCCACCGGGAGGAAGGAGTAGAATAAACCTGGCCGAGGCGCAGAAGTGGCTCCTGAAGAAGCCGGCGCCGGGGCCGCCGCCTTGTGTCCCCTCGGGGCGCAGCGCTCCGGGGTCGGCGTGCCGGAACCGAGGCGCGGCCGGGGGCTCAGGGGCGGCGGGGTCGAGCGCGCGACCAGGCGCACGGCGACCGGGGGGTCTGCCAGGCGATCCCCCGCGCCCCACGGGGCTCCCGAGCCCCGGGACGCGGGCTGGAAGCCACGGAGGACCGCTGCCGCGGGCTGCGGACGAGCATCGTCCCTGCCGAAAGCGGATTCTGCTATGACAGTTGGGCTCCCCGAGGGGTTAACCTGGGTGTCCTCGGTAAAGTTGTCGCCGAGCCGGGAGCCCGTGTAGGGGTCGCGGCACCGCGGCTCGGGGGGCGGCCGGGCGGCCGGCGGCGGTCGTGGCTCGGCGGGGCCCGCGCGGCCGGGGGGCTTCTGGGGGTGTGCGCCCCCAGCCGGCTGCCCTCGTGGATGCCTCCCGGCGGCGGCGGGCCCATGAAAGACTGCGAGTACAGTCAGATCAGCACCCACAGCTCCTCCCCCATGGAGTCGCCCCACAAGAAGAAGAAAATCGCGGCCCGGAGGAAATGGGAGGTGTTCCCGGGGAGAAACAAGTTCTTCTGCAACGGGAGGATCATGATGGCCCGGCAGACGGGCGTCTTCTACCTGACGCTCATCCTCATCCTGGTTACTAGCGGACTCTTCTTCGCCTTCGAGTAAGTGGCGGCGACAGCTCCGCGTTGCCCCATTCCTCTTTCCTCCCCCTTCCGCCGACTACTTTCGGTTTCTAGAAGTCTTATCTGCTCTATGTTATTATATAATGGCAGCCCGCCGGCCCTCCTGTTCTATTAAGGGTCTGTTTGATTTTCAGTACCCCGAAATGCTGCCGTGCAGGGCCAGGCTCCTGGAAGCAGAGGAGAGGGTAGTGGGACACTTGTACGGTGTGGCGGGCTTTGCTCCTCTCCTGCGCAGGGTGGGACTGGCAGGTGGGGCCGCTGGTGAACTGAATCGGGGCGCTCTCCACCGAGTTTGGGAACCTGTACACCAGCCCAGGTGCAGCCTCTATGGGAAGGAGGCTTCCGGAGATAGTTCTAAATCAGGAATAAGCAGACTTGATTTTTCCCCCCTCCTCCTTGCTAACAAGATGTGGGGCATTAAGCTCAGTTGGCTAAATCTTCTATGTAACTTTGCGGAATAATAAGAAATCTCGGTTATTTTAGGTTTAAAAGTGTAGGCTACCTAGTGTACCCTAAATGGAGAATTTCATCCCCCACCCCTTCATTCTTCTTACTTGTTCACTATTGATGAATGAGTTCTGATTACCTGTGAGGTTTCCAAACTCTTCACTTTCAAAGAAGTTTCAATTTTTAAAAAGTCCAAAACAAACAGTTTGGGAACAGGTGAAAGTAAACATGTAGGCCTGAAAAAGTGTGGCCAGATATGGCAACTTCTGATGCCAGAGAAAATACTTTGGGATTTTGAGAATTTTATCTGCAAAAAAGTACATGTGAGCCTTTTTCAGGAATCAATTGGCCAGTAGCAACTATCTTCCTGCCAACCAATGAAAGGTCTTCTTATTTATTAATAGTCATTAGGTAAGGCAGTTTAGCCATATTCTGAATCAGTTTCAATTGCTGTGATTGAGTCCAGCATTTGGGTTGCAGCTCCTTATGTAATCCCCCATAGCTGTGCTCAGTGAAAGTTGTAGTCATTTTTTCCCCTCTAGACTTAAAAGAAAAAGCAATGTATTTATTGTAATTAAAATCTTTTGTGTTGTTTACTTTTGTCTTTGATAAGCATTAGTGGGCTTGATCTTGTGCCTGGCTTTTGCTAGTGGAAATGCTGTCTCAATCAGAAATGAAGGGTCTCTTGATAATGTTAATGCTTTTCACTCAGAACCCTCAGACTCTCCGAGGGGAAACATTTTCTCTCTGAACACGGAGCTATGACGAACAGTTTTAACAGGATTGAGTTAGAATAGGAGAGGAGGGAGTTCACAGATGGAAGCTACCCCCACCCCCTATTCTTTCTCACACACAAAATTTCTCCAGCATTTTTGACTGTGTGGATTTTCCAGGTGTTTCCTAGAAAAGTCCCTGTTGTGCATGGCTGAGATTAGTTGGTGGAGTCATGTGATGAGAGGGCAAGGGTGGGAGTGGGCGTGCAGTGTAGCAAGGAGGCATGCTTTGTGCCCCCTCTCTTGCTTCTGTGGGTCCCCATCCAGAGCCAGCCTCTTGTCCCTACAGATCCACGGAAGCCAGAGGAAGGGCCACAGAGGTCCCTGACATATTTGCATCCTATGCAGAATGACCACTGCCACCCACCTGAATGGTGAGGCTATGTGTTTAACAGAGACACGCATCCCTCTAACAGTGTCTTGAGTTACAGGTAGGCCTGTGGTAGGGCTGTATTCACTATATTCCCAAAGTAACAAAAAGTTTTGAATGGATCCATATTGGCATTTTTGCTCTTTTCAGGGCTTTTTAAGAGTGGAGGCAGTTGGTTGATTTTGTGACTGCGATGCCGAGCTTCAGCCACAAGTGTGTTTTGTGTAGGATGATGAATATTTCATTTTTTATATATACCCAAATCCTTGCTGGATGGCTAGCCCCTCCCCCGATATCCCAGTTAGTACTTGCTATCTTTATTTTCTTAGTTTAAACATAACTTCTAACCAAACCATCATAAATTCATTTTCATTTCTTGATCTCTGTGCTTTTTTTCTGAGAGTTCCCCCAGAGTCCCCCTTGCAGGTTGTCACAGATCTTCTGCATCAGTGTCATGCTATGACTAAAGGGATAAGCGCATGCACTGGGATTTTATGAGTGTTATTTGCAGCATTATTTTTGTATCAGCTTTGTGGGAGTCAGTGTGTGTGTGTGGTGAGAGAGAGAGAGAGAGAGTAAGTTTGATCTTCATGGGTGTTGCTTCAACCAGGCAATTGGAACTATTGGGAAAATAGGAGCCCCATCCTATGGGGCTTCAGTTGAGAAAAATCACAGGTCAATTCAAACTTCAGAATATTATGGCTTGCTAAGACCGTTTGTCACTGCATTTAATTGCTTTGTCACAAGCATTGTCTTTTAAGTTCTTTACTCATTGCTAAGGATAGAAAGAAATTAAATAACTTTGGCCAAATTAATTTGCTAGACACTCAAAGAGCCAATTAGCCACTTGCATAGGAAATGAAAGACCAACTGGCTAATCATTAAATAAGATCCCCAGGAAACACTGGCATTAGGTGCTCCCTGCCTGTCTTTCTTCTGGCCCACCTCTACTATTTATTGAGTGCATACTACATGGTCCCCAACTTTGTTCAATTTTGTATTTTGATAGCTTTTAATGTTAATGGAATTTCATTGTCAAACACTATAATCTGACCCCATCCCCAACATTTCCAGGAAGACAAATGAAAAATGTGAGAAGAAAAACACCTAACTTGTAACTTCAGTTTTGAACTTCTTTATCTGCACCTCTTCTCTCACCACTCCTCTTATTGTGATCTTGAGCAGATGGACATGTTTGTTCGAGAGAAATGAACTTATTGGAACTCAGCAACAGATGCTGATGCTTCTTCAACTGCTGGAGGAAGGCAGGGTAGAAATTTGTATTCCCATCTGGGAGATGAAGTGAGTGGCTGGGACAGGTCCCATGATCACCAAGATGCTGGCACTGGTGTGGGAAGGCTCCTGCCCACAAAGTGCTCCTTCAGACACTGTGCTGCCCCCCAGGTGTAGACATGGTTAAGGACAGGGCTTTTGGAAAGGCAGATCCCAACAGTATGACCCCTGGCAAATGGTTTGTCTTTTTAGCCTCCGTTTCCCAATCTATAAAAGGGGATTGATAATGTCTACCTTTAAATGTTGTGACAATTAAATGAAAAAGCATACTTAGTGCATTGCCCAGTATATAGCAACTGCTCAGTAAGTGGTAAATATCATCAGAGTACACCTAGAAGTCCTCCCAGGACTCTGGCTGCCCTTTTCTGAGAGCCTTTCAAGGGAAGGGAATATATAGGTTAATAAGGAACAGTGAGAGTGATTGAGAGCATGTTACGGCCAAAATAATGGGAGCTGTGCAGTCACTCATTAAAAGAAAGACTGTCGCACAGCCCAGGAGCCTGTGTGAAGCCATGTCCTAGGTCCTGCCCCTGCAGAGTGGAGTCCTGAGGGGCCTGGGGAACTGCGCTGATCCAGACCCTGGGTTTCATCTTCATTTTTGGAGCCTCCGGCCCTGAATTGTGGAGGCAGTAGAGAAGGCTGCCAGGTGTGAGCAGCTGGAACACCGCACCCTGTCTCAGGCAGCCCAGGTCTGCCCACCTGTGCCACCTTCATTCAGCCTGTGGAGCACCACGGAGAGGTGAGGGCTTTTCATAGCGTTTGAGGGAAGGGAGCTGACGGTAGCCCACACACTTCACTGCTCCTGAAGGTATTAAGCCTCATGAAAGACTCCAGAACCAGGATTTGGAAAGATCAGCGAACACCATCAGTTTCTTCACTTCTCTCCCTCCCTCTCTCTTTCTCTCTTCAATCTCTCTCTCTGTCATAGCCTACTTTTCTTGATAGCTGGAATTTTTAAACTAAAAAGGCTTTGGTTCTGAAATATTGAAATTTTACAGTCTCTTGATCACAGGGGCAGAAAGAAGGTGCAGGGGACCTGCCTAGGTCAAGGGTGTGACCGCGGCACCCAATTCTGTGCTGTCACTTCGGACAGTTCCAATGTGTTATTGCTGCTCAAATGTGAAATTTCTCATTGCTAGGAATCCATTGATGATTAAAACAAAGAGCCAAACAAACCCCCCCCCCCCCCCCCCCCCCCCCAAGAAAAAACAACCTTATGTTGCAGTGGCCCATGCCTGTAATCCCAGCAGCTTGGGAGGCGGAGGATTGAGTTAGAATAGGGGAGGAGGGAGGAGGATCTGGAGTTCAAAGCCAGACTCAGCAATTTAGCAAGGCGCTAAGCAGCTGAATGAGACCCTGTCTCTAAAAAAATACAAAATAGGGCTGGGATGTGGCTCAGTGGTGGAGTGCCACTGAGTTCAATCCCAGGTACCCCTTTCCCCCCAAAAAAAACCCTTATGTTTTTTCTTTCTCTCTGTTCCTTCTTTCTTTCCTTCTCTTCTTCCATTCCTTTCTTTGATTTTTCAATTTAGTTATTCCACTCTGAAATAAATGATGAACATCGTGAGTCTGTAGAATTCTTGGCCTTGAAGATAGAGCTTGGGACTATCACTGGTAAAAATGTCACTTCCTATAATGAAGTCACTGTCATGGAGGGGTTAACTTTTATAATCTAGTAGAAGGTGCTGCCCTTGTAACAGAAGAACTCTGTCTGTTAGTCATGTTTCTGTCATTACAACAATATACTAGAGATAATTAGCTTACAATGAAAAAAGGTCTTTTTTGGCTCCTGGTTTTAGAGCTTTCAGTCTCTGATTTGGTGGACTCCTTGCTCTTAGGTGGCTGGTGGACATGCTGAATGGCCATGGTGGAAACATGGGAAAGAAAACTGTTCAATTCAGGAAGCAAAAGAGGAAAAGGAAGGGGTCAGAGTCTCACAATCCCCTTTGAGGGCACAGCCCCAAAGACCTAAGAGCCTTACCTCCAAAAGGTTCACCATCTTCCAGTGCCCCCACCCCAGATGAGCCTTTAATGCACGTGTCTTTGAGGCCATTTGACATTGAAATGATAGCTTCAGGTGCTGTCTCCCATAAATG